CCTCAAAGGATGTCGCTACAAGAGCAGCATCATCAGCAAACAACAAATCACGGATAATTTCTGTACGAAGGTGGGTCTTGGCTTTGAAGCTCTGATGGTTGAAGATTACACGCATATTCTTTCTACATCTGACTGTTGTACAGGAATGGTTGTATATAACGAATATATATATATATATATATATATATATATATATATAGAAGAAGAAGAAGAAGAAGAAGAAGAAGAGCGAGTTTATTATAAAAAGCATCGGTGGTGGTGGTGGTGGTGGTGGAAGTGGTGGTGGTGGGAGAGTAAATTTTTTTTTTATCCAACATTTAAGATGTTTTTGTTTTTATCCAGCCTCATATTCATTTAAGAAAATTCTTTCCTAAGTGTATATGAGACTTTAGTTTTTTGTTTAAATAAAAAAAAAAAGCGTTAGGTGGTCATTTGTTAAAAAATCGCCTGAGGATACCGTAAGGTTGAAACCAAGGTAGTGGATTCAACTGACCTTCTGATTTTTAAAGGTAAAATGTGTATATATATATATATATATATATATATATATATATATATATATAGGTGTGTCCCAAAAGTCACTATCCACATTTTTTTCGTTTCAGGTATCATTCGGAGATACGGGAGACCATCAGCATTCGACAGCTGAGGCTTTTGCAGGTTTTTGTAAGTGCATCATTCCTTTACCCATGGATCGCCAATTGACGTTGGGGTAGCGTTGCAAAATTGCTGCACTAACTTCAAGCGGAAGATTATGATGCTTATCTTGAAATGTGTGAATCACTCCCCTATCATTACCAAAACAACCCTTAGCTTTTGGAAAAGTTGTGGTTCAGTGACGGGTCTATCTTTCATCTCCCTGCTCGGGTAAACGAACACAACTATCGAATTTGGGGAAAATCAAACCCACTAGAAATTCTTGAGCATGAACGAGCCTTTCCGAAGCTAATGAGTTGATCTGCTATCATTCCCTTTCACGATACATCCTGTAACACGATCACACTTACAGGGGAAATTACCTGAAGATGCTGCATGTTGTGGTGTCCTCCCTCTAAAGAGTCTATGTTAAACTCTTCCGCCTACTATAAGATTAGTTGGAGAGAAGGTTCGGGGAACAGTGAACTGTGATTAGATTGAGCGATAGTTCATTTGATACACTCTCACTAGTGTTATACTCTTCTGACGTATTTACTGTTTAATATACGATATATCTGCAAACCTGGTTTTTGTTATTAAACCATTTACTTGGTCACAACACTGCAGGAGTTTGCTGTGCCATAATTTCAGGCGAAGTTGCCGTTGCTTATATATTTTTCAAAAATACGGATCTACTCCTCAATTTGCTAAGATTTCCTGAACATCAGGTATCCTAATCGATGCATCGGTCTCTAGCACGACTCGGAGTTTCATGCAAATATGCAATCTTCAGTATCTGTCTATCTTTCTGAGATGAGGTATTATGTACTATGCCATGTGTCCTTTATCCACTGTGCCATGTGTCCTTAAGGACAGTGGATAAAGGCGTTGGTTAGATCCAGTGACAGGACCCAAAGAGTTGTGAGTTCAATACCTGGTTAAGGCAGTGGAGAGCTTGGAGAGGGGAATTAACAGGAGATAACTGATAACTGACATCCATTAGACATGGCACGTGTAACTAAATAAAGGGTTCAGTTCGACATTCCAACCACCTGAAGAAGACTGACGTGTACAACTGCCGAAATGTTGTGATAAATATGGCGACAAAGATGAGGATAATAGTCCGAATAATGTAAATAGTGTCTGCTAGGTAGTCTTTACATATTTGGGAAGGATATTAGAATAATTCAGAACCTATACCAATGGTAAATGAATTTAGTAAATATACGAAAACAGAAAGAGGTGCGAGACAAAGATGTGTCTTCTCACCAGACTCATTTAACGTATACAGTGTCCTCGAAGGATTCATTGTTGACAGCCAAATCTTAACAACATAAGATATGCAGGTGACAATGTTGATGGCAGACACAGCTTCTACAAGTTGGAGGACATCAGCTGTTTGACCTGGAGAAGGACGGGCTTCGCCAGGTTTACTCTCCTTTGATATGCTACGCATGATCGAATACTTCTCAGGCTTTCTACCTAGATAGGTTGAAAGAATTGGTCAAATGTTCAGTGACCCTTCGACCACACCCAGTCACGAGACTGATGATGATGATGATTATATTTGTATACATATTGGCATACTTACTGTCTGAATTTCTGGGATGAGAAGTTATCATTATTTACACTATTTACATTCGATATACACCTGAGGATGACCACAGGGAACAACGGCTGAAACGTTGTGATAACAACAACAAAGTTTATTACAATAGTCTGAATAAAAATAATGTAAATATTTGCAAACATTGCCTGTTAAGTTCTGTATAATAAATAAGTTTTGTCATAAATATGGCAACAAAGACGAGGACAATAGTCCGAATAATGTAAATAGTGTACATAATACCTCATCTCAGAAATATAGACAGATACTGAAAGGCCGAAACGTTGCGATAAATATGGCAACAAAGATGAGGACAATAATCCGAATAATGTAAATAGTGTACATAATACCTCATCTCAGAAATATAGACAGATACTGAAAGGCTGAAACGTTGTAATAAATATGGCAACAAAGATGAGGACAATAATCCCAATAATGTAAATAGTGTACATAATACCTCATCTCAGAAATATAGACAGATACTGAAAGGCCGAAACGTTGCAATAAATATGGCAACAAAGATGAGGACAATAATCCGCATAATGTAAATAGTGTACATAATACCTCATCTCAGAAATATAGACAGATACTGAAAGGCCGTAACGTTGTAATAAATATGGCAACAAAGATGAGGACAATAGTCCGAATAATCTAAATAGTGTACATAATACCTCATCTCAGAAATATAGACATATACTGAAAGACCGAAACGTTGTAATAAATATGGCAACAAAGATGAGGACAATAATCCGAATAATGTAAATAGTGTACTCAATCTTCAGGTGTAAAATACTCACCGGCCATTAAAATGTCATGAAATTTGCGTCCTCGTGGTATTGATTTAAAATTGAATATTAAAACTTTTTATTTTATTATTTTTGCTTGCAATATTAGAATTAATTATTTAATAATTTATATCGTTCAAATTCTTAAATTCGAAAGGCGGAATTTTTTTTTTATATAATCAAAGAGCTCGATGTCAAGAGATAAAAGAACTTTAATAAAATTTATATTTCTGGAGTTTGGCGGAAATTCCATGCTTGACGAGTGGATGTAATATCCGTGAAACACAGAGTATAGATAAGATAATTGAACATTTAATTTTATTTCTAACTAGATGTGAACAGATATAGCAATCGGATGTGCAATATTTCTCTTTTTTTCTTATTCTCAGTAACCACTTGTGTCTTAGTAACTTTATTGTTTGCATGGATTGAAATGATTTAAAACATTATCATGTGCATCGCATTTCAGACATTCTTTTGTTAATTTGTCGGGAAACTAGAAAGCTAATAATGAAATGAAGTCCAGTGACAAACAATGATCATAAATCCCGAGCCTACAGATCGCACCAAAAATTAGTGAAGTCCGGAGTTTGCAATGGTCGAGAGAATCGGGCAATTTTGAGGGTGACTCATCATAAAATTCAATCTTGGGTCATATGACGTATCGTGAGAGTAGACATTTTTTGGGTGTGGTGGGTGGAAAAACTATGTGAGAAATTGCCAAAGTGTGATATTAACGCAACCGACAAAGATTTGGTTCAGCCAAATAAGAACATCTCAGATGTGTACTGAATCACTCTGACATTAAAGTCTTTTCAGTGCTTTACAAATACGTAATACTTCTTTGAACAGACCTTACGTTTGCGTTTAGCATGACACAATCCCGCTAAGTGTACACTTTCACTCGTCAGGCCATGAGTATTTACCCATGCTGCCTGCCCCAATTGGAGCCATGTGCGTTGTGTTTTGCTCGACTTTTATATATATATATATATATATATATATATATATATATATATATATATATATATATCAGTGATGCATGCTGGGTATTCTATTGCATTTTGGATTAGTTTGGTGGGCATGGTTTGTTAGTTTATTTATTATTTACTTAGTTTATTTACTTATTTATTTGGATTAATTTATTTAAATTGTTTTTGTTTATTTTATTTTATTTTCATTTATTCTTTTCAGTTTTCGATTTTTAATTAACGTAGTAAAAATTTGTTTTCGTGTCTGCATTTAGAGATGAGTTCTTCTCGTTTACTTAGTAATTTGTTTCGGTCTGCGAAGGCAATTATAGCTATTTTTTTCTCCAAGCAGAGTTTAGAGGTTTTGAATTGACTGTTGTAGGCTGATGTTCTTTTTCTTATTTTCCATGATATTTTTGGTGTGATTTGATTTTTGTTTTTAATCTCCCATATGTGTTTAGAAAGTATGGTGCTGTTCGCATATTTCCCATTTGTAAAAGATGTCTTGTGTACGTAATTTCTTTGTGCATAGGGTTCTTCAATTACTCCTATGTACATATATATTTACATACGCCCTATCTTTAACCCATAAATATAGCATACCTTAAAACTATATTTTATCATAAAATATATATATGTGTGTGATTCGTTGTGTCTTTAAGGACTTCATCGGACTAAAGTAATGTTTTTTGTTGATGGAATTATATATGGGTAGGAAAGAGAGAAGGGGTGTATATAAAAACGCAAGCCTCGGGTATAATTATGCAGCAATAGGAAACGCTGAAAATGTTGGAACAGTGAAATTTTAAACTTTGAAATTTAGTTTTTCCCTTTTTTTTCCTTACCCATGTGTCTGGGTATTTAGTCTAGTCAATTTCATTCTGTTTCCTTTTTCTTTCTGTTATTAATTTGCCTTAGATTCTTCTGATATAAACCCATATATATATATGTTTCATGCTAGACGCAATCGTTAGGCCATATATATATAGAAAGTATATAAACAGGCATATATAGATATGAACAAGATATGGACACTGAAGAAATTCAGATAGATAGATAGATAGATAGATAGATAGATAGATAATGAAGAGACTGAGATAGATAGATAGATAGATAGATAGATAGATAGATAGATAGATAGATAGATAGATAATGAAGCGACTGAAATAGATATATAGATAGATAATGAAGTGACTGAGATAGATAGATAGATAGATAGATAGATAGATAGATAGATAGATAGATAATGAAGAGACTGAAATAGATATATAGATAGATAATGAAGTGACTGAGATAGATAGATAGATAGATAGATAGATAGATAGATAGATAGATAGATAGATAGATATAATAAGTAGGGAGATAGAGTGAAATAAACAGACCGAATAATTGATATTTTGACAGTTCAGTTCATCTATGAGGCAACAGCTTGTGAATCGGATTGGTAACCATCAAACAATGTCTGCTGAGTGTTTGCTAACTACTTAGATATGAGCCAACGACGGCTGGCGTGTACACACGCACGCACACACACACACACACAGCCAAACACAAAACTGCGTGCACGCGCATGCGTGTTTGATGGATGAGTGTTACATATTTCTCACTGTTGACATATTTCAAACGACAATTTTGAAAGAGAGCAAGTCTGTTTGTTCTGTCTGTCTATCTATCTATCTATCTATCTATATATCTATATATATATATATATATATATATATATATACATGTATATAGCGAGAGGGAGAGAGAAAGAAAGCATAAGAAAGGGAGTGAGATTTGCATGGTCACTGTGATATAACATCTCCTAATGTTGCAAGTAGTTACAGTTTAAATTCGGTTAATTCAAAGATACGCGCATGACATTCATTCTATCGATTTGTATCTATTCAGCATTTTGTCAAAGTAAATCTCAGTCTTTTCATATCTATCTTTCTTCTACCTATCAATCTATCTCAGTCTGTTCATAAATCTATCTATCTATCTCTTTCATTTGTTCATGTATACATATATATATATATATATATATATTAAGATGCATTAACCTACTAATCACTTGATGAATGTTATGATCCTTGTTTTTTTTTTTTTTAAATTATAAGCTGTACAAGGTCTTTCTTAAATACGCAAGTACTTTCGACTGTAAATTCAATCATCTTCAGGCATGGAAATTACTTTGTTTTTGGTAAAATTCAGGTAGCATCCGAGACGAAAAAATATCATGCGAATCGAAATATGTTTTTTTTTTTTTTTTTTTTTAAATATGTTATTGATAACGGATAAAAACTTTTGGCGCGTGCAGTTGCAACGCTAAGGTTGAATTTTTTTTTAATGCTACCTGAATTTTACAAAAAAATATCGAAACACATAGAAAACTGTTTTTAAATAGAAAATGCTGTATGAGAATAAGATAGAGTAAAAGAATTGAGAAAGAAAAATAGAGAAAAAGAAAGCAATAGAGAGAAAGAATAAAAATAGGGAAAGTAAGGTAAAAAAAACAGTAAAAGTAAAAAGAGCCATAAAGAATAAAAAAACAAAGATAAAGAAATGAAGAAAAGTAAAGAGTAAGAAAGAGAAAGTGTAAGAAAGATTCAAAGAAAGAGAATAAGAAAGAAAGAAAAAAGAAAGGGTAAAAAGAGAGAGAGAGAGTAAGAAAGAAAGAACAAAAAGAGAGAGCAAGAAAGAAATGTGAAGAAAGAGCGGGAAAGCGTAAGATGATGAGAAAGAGTAAAAGAAAAGTAAGAAAGAGAGTAATAGAATGAGAGAATAAGAAAGATAGAGAAAGAGTATGAAAAAGAGAGAAGAGAGTGAGTAAGAAAAAGGGAGTAAGATTAAAAGAGAGAAGTAAGAAAGAAAGAGTAAAAAAAGTGAAAGAATAAAAGAGACCCAGCCAGAAAGAGAGAGTACAAAAGAGAGAGAAAGAGTGGGGGTGTCGTACTATAGCAGTTACCTGAATATCAAGTTTAAAATTTCAACAAAATATAGTAATGGCGTAAAAGATAAGTGTTTTCTTTTCATTTCAGTCTTAATCCAGACCCCAGTAAACTTTGGAAATTCACAATGATCACAAAGTAAATCGCTAGCTGCTGATTGGCGATAAAGGGTAGCAATGGGAACAGCAAGTCCGTCGACGCAGTTGCTGGCAATTTAGTGCGGCCATTTTGAAGAGCAGCTTTTCAGGGAATATGGCGCTTCTGGGCGACGTCCGACAATAACACCACAATTAGTTGTAAACATGTCCGATTATTGTAAACAAGTTCTTCTTTCAAAATATCATCGCCAGGGAGAAGCAAGCAGATAGCTTTCGGGAACATCGACTCCTGTACTTTCGTCAGATAGTGCAATCGTGTTTTGTAATAAATTCTCATTATAAAATATACACAATTCTGGTTTCGAATTGTATTTTTAGAAGAGAAGGGATATGAACGAAGCGTAACGGTCATCAACGCGAAAAGAGGAATTGATATACCGAGTTCAAATTACAGCTGAGGCTGGTGCGTTCCTTTTTGTACTAATGCGATTGGAAATGTATGCCCCCCCACACACACACACACATATACACCAATAAGCTAGTATACTAAGTTCTCTAGGTTTGAAACCGTTGTATAATGTTGTTTTCTGTCACTTGATTTAATCAACTTCATTCCGTCTAAGTCTTTACCCTCTTATTTCTCCGATAACAAACAGACTGGACTCTCCCATCGATTTCGACGTATGAGGGTCAAACAATTCAGTTTCCTAGAAATCGACAGATCATTGGATTCGAGTGGTGAAGGCTTGTGTAAAAGCAACCACACTTTTCGGAACAGCCGAATACAGAGAATTCGTGCACAAGGTCCCCAAACGACACTCCGCAGGTTTTGTATTCAGAGTTGTCCTTCTCCTAGAATGTTAGCCACCCAAGGCTATAAGACCCGTTCTGTCCTGAAATTTATCCATATCTGAGGGGGGGAGAGCTGGATTCATACCTTTCCCAAGAGTATTAGCACGTAAGTGAATGTAATGAACTTGACAAGAATTCAAACTCAACTCCTCGATTCGTCAATCCGACCTTCTATCCATTACTTCAAACATCTATCTATCTATCTATCTATCTATCTATCTATCTATCTATCTATCTATCTCAGTCCATTATCTATATATCTATCTCCGTCTGTTCATTATCTATCTATCTATCTATCTATCTATCTATCTATCTATCTATCTCAGTCCATTATCTATATATCTATCTCCGTCTGTTCATTATCTATCTATCTATCTATCTATCTATCTATCTATCTATCTATCTATCTATGTATCTCATTCTGTCCATTATCTATCTATCTATCTATCTATCTATCTATCTATCTATCTCTCGCTATATATATATATATATATATATATATATATATATATATATATATATATATATATTATAATTTTTTAAAATCTAGGCTTTACTTAAAATAAAAAACAAAAATACTAAAAGAACTTAGGATCATCGCTCTAAAGGTTCTTTCCTATTTTACCAATATATTTGTATACACACACACACACACACACACACACACACACACATATATATATATATATATATATATATACTCGAATTTAATGAGAACGAAAATAATATGGACTCTAACGTTCACAGAATTAATTCAAAAGAGGGCTAAATACCGATAGTAGAGCAATAATTATTTATTATAATTTTTACATACGGCCAAAAACAACTTACTCACTACAAAGATGCATTCTTGTTTCGGCTGCATCTCGACTAGTGAGAACCAAAAATGGTTATTTTTTGGTTCTCACCAGTGAGATACAGTCGCATCGAAACATGAATGCATCTTTGTAGTGAATAAGTTGTTTTTTGGCCGTATGTAAAAATTATAATACATATGTATATCATTTGATTATAGTGGTGAAAATACAAAGAACTGGTGCACAGTATTCCTCAAGGTCCTCAAACAACCCTCTGCAGGTTTTTTTGAATTCAGAATTGTCCTCCTTCTAGACCGGTTGCTACTCAGGGCTAAAGAACACAATCTGTCCTGCTATTTACCCATAGCTGGTGGGAGAAAAAGAGACCTCAATCCAAGCCGCTATCTATTACTCCACCGTGTCTATAAGCAACATATGCAAATATATATAATCCTATTGCACCTCCATGAACCAAAGATGTTTAATACCATTCGTCATTCTTGAACTTCTTCTACAACCTTCTTCCTCCTTTCTTCCCTCTTTGGGGTCTATGCCCTGTTCTTTCTAATAGAGATCTTTGTCTCATCTTATCTTCTTCCGTGTCTAAGTCACTCCCGTTATCATTCATAGACTCGTCTTATATTACATTATCGTGATCTGAAGAACTCATCCTTTTTTTTTTCGGCAAGATCTTCTTCCGTCACAACAGGAAGGACATCTCTGAATTAAAACATCGGTTGGACGTGGAACTAGCAACTCCACTCCGTAAAAACCTACTTGATACAGTAACTAGAGCAGCTACACCTAACATGGTGTGGCTATGCCTCGAGCGCGGTAAGGCTATGACTCTAGAATGGTGTGGCTATGGCTCGAGCGCGGTATGGCTATGGCTCTAGTATCGTGTGGCTATGGCTCAAGTGTAGTGAAGCTGTAGCTATATACTCCGCAGAGAACTTATATACATATATTTTTAATACAAAGAGTATATAATGGTAAACAAATATTTCTTCCCTACTTTATTTTTTACTTTAGTTCCTACAATACTAAGCTCAAGAGGCACTCAAGGTAGAGGGTTGCACAATGAGATTGTTGTAACGGCGTAAATGAGCGGGGAGGAGGAAGTAAGTAGCGCATTTTATGAGGATATATAGGATAGATATTAGTTGGCACCAGATTTGATGAGGTTAAGATTGCAGTGGTTTGTGATGGTGCTCCCGTTCGGGGTTGGGAGGGGTTTTTCTGCTCCACAAAGTAACAGTTCTGGAAAAAGGAAGTGGGGAGTTTGCTATGTATTTTGTTAATATTTCTAAGTATTTTAAAGCTTTTTCTAGGAAAAAAGTTTAACAAATTAATTTGAAGAAGCTCAGACGTGAATCTAGAGAGAGGGGGGGGGTGATTTGTCAACCACTCACCCACAACAGCATGTCGTCATAGTGATGATGAATAGTGTTGTTTTTTTTTAGTTTTTTTTTTTTTTTTATTCAACATATAAACTGTACGCAAAATGTTTGGGGAAACACTGTGGATTGCAAAGAATCATTTAAAAATTTTCAAAAATAATTTAAAAGCTCACTTCAGTCTTGGTGGATTTTCTCTTTTTGAACTCTTTTATCGTTTATTCAATAATAATAATGATGATGGTGATAACGAAATTAACCTATCACTTCATCATTCAGTCAGTTATGTGCCATGCGTGATACATTCGATACATGACTGACGAGGCAGATTTTTTTCCGTAGTAGGTTGCCATTTCTTTCTGCGGTAGACCAGTTGCCATTATGCTATTTACCCATAGGGGGGAGAAGAGGAGTCATACCTTTCTCAAGGGTATTAGCATGTAAGTGAATGTAATGGATTCGACTGGAAAGTCAGTCAGTTATGTGCCATGCGTGATACACACTTAGGCGATCATGTATCCTTCGATACATGACTGACGAGGCAGATTTTTTCCTGCAGTAGGTTGTCATTTCTTTCTGCAGTAGACCAATTGCCATTCTGCTATTTACCCATAGGGAGAAGAAGAGGATTCATATCTTTCCCAAGAGTATTAGCACGTAAGTGAATGTAATGGATTCGACTGGAATTCGAACTCGTCTCTCTGATTCCTCAATCCATTACTCCACCGTGCCTCTTTATAATTCTGGTTTATTTTGTCTGATCTACATTGATGGCTAATAGTAATCTTAGGGTTGGCGGAATATAAATTTTAGCTAGTCTCGTGTCTTAAAAATATTGAACTCTATGAATTAACGGGTTAAATATTTTGATAGCAAAAGATGCCTTTCAGAAGCTAAGCAAAGTATTAATAAACAGAAAGGCTTCGTTAGTAATAAAAAAAAGAATAATGGACTGTTACATAATATAGGTCCTCCTATATGACAATGAATGCTGGAAAATCTCACAGATAAAGAAGAAACTTGAAGCAACAGAAATATAGTTATATAGAAGAGTGTTTAGAATATCATGAACTGAACAATGACAGAGTTTTAAAGAAAATGGAACAAAAAGGACACTTATATTTAACATCAGAAAGGCGTAGTTGATATTTCTAGGCCACATAATGAGGAAAGAGGGCTTGGAAAATCAGATACTTACAGGACAGATTAAAGGACAGAAGAAAACAACGCTGCCTAGCGAGCTTGGGTAAATTGGTGGCGGAACAAGGCTCAGGAGAGATAACATAAAGAGAAAATTTATTAAGAGCTAAAAAAGACAGGAAATTGTGGAGAGCCATGATTTTAGATTTTAGGTAGTCTTGTGTCTTAAAAATTATTGAACTCTATGAATTAACGGGTTAAATATTTTGATAGCAAAAGATGCCTTTCAGAAGCTAAGGAAAGTATTAAGAAACAGAAAAGATTCGTTAGTAACAAAGACAAGAGTAATGGGCTGTTACATAATATAGGTCCTCCTATATGACAATGAATGCTGGAAAATCTCACAGATAAAAAAGAAACTTGAAGCAACAGATATATAGAAGAGTGCTTAGGATATTGTGAACCGAACAATGATGAAAATTTAAAGAGAATGGAACAAAAAGGGATACTTATATCTAACATCAGAAAGGCGTAGTTGATATTTCTAGTTGAAATGAGGAAAGAGGGCTTGGAAAATCAGATACTTACAGGATAGGTTAAAGGACAGAAGAAAACAACGCTGTCTAGCGAGTTTGAGTAAATGGATGGTGGAACAAGGTTTAGGAGAGATAAAACCACAAAATTTATTAAGAGCTACAAAAGACAGGAAATTGTGGAGAGATCGCCTATTCTAAAGATCGACACATACAAAAGAATTCTAAATGGACACAGCAAAAAAAAAGATGTATTAAGAGCTACAAAAAAGAATGATTGATCGCCTATATTCTAAAGGGACACGGAACAAAAGTTTAGGAGTAAATGATATAACAAAATGGTTTAAGAAGATTATTAAGAGCTACAAAAGAAAGGAAATTGTGGAGAGCCATGATCGCCTATATTCTAAAATTTTTTGACACATACAAAAAAAGAATGAGCTTGAGTAAATGAGTGGCGGAACATGGTTTAGGAGAGTTAACAAAAACACAAGATGTATTAAGAGCTACAAAAGAAAGGAAATTGTGGAGAGCCATGATCGCCTAGATTCTAAAGGGACACGA